AAAAAAAAAACAAAAAAAACAAAACAAAACAAACCCAGCCCTGGCCAGGTGTGGTAGCAGGTGCCTATAGTCCCAGCTACTAGGGAGGCTGAGGCAAGAGAATCACCTAAGCCCAAGGAGTTGGAGGTTGCTGTGAGCTGTGATACCACAACACTCTACTGAGGGTTAATAAGTGAAATTATCTCAAAAAGACCCCCCAAAACTGTAAGTAACAAAGTGTAAATTTTTCTAGGCTATTTATTTCAACAAATATGTCCCTGGACACCACCACACACACCATGTGCCACATACTGTTATCCACTGGGGAATCTGCTGGACTGTAAGCTCCTGGAGAGTTAGGAGCAAACTGTCTTCTTCCTTGTTCATTTCTGTAACAGCCCCCACTTTTCCCCAGATAAAAATGTGTGCACTTTTCTCCGCCTTCAAATCCAGGGATGACAAGTACTACAGGTTCTATCTCCAAATGACAAGTTCTATGGATTCTATCCCCAAAATATTGCTTGAATTTCCCACTTCCCTGCCAAAACCCTGGTCCAAGCTACCATCATCTTTTGGCCTGGATGACTGGTTTGCCTCCTATGTTGGTCTCTCTGTCCCTCTGCTATCTCTTGTGCATACAACTGTCATAGTAATCTTTTCTTCCTTTTTTTTTTCTTGAGACAGAGTCTCACTTTGTCACCCTGGGCAGAGTCTTGTGGTATCACAGCTCACAATAACCTCAAACTCTTGGGCTTAAGCTGTTCTCTTGCCTCAGCCTCCTAAGGAGCTGGGAGGCAGCCACAACGCCCGGCTATTTTTTGGTTGAAGTTGTCATTGTTGTTTGGCAGGTCTGGGCTGGATTTAAACCTGCCAGCTCCGGTGTGTGTGGCTGGCGCCACCTGGGCCCCTAGCCGCTGAGCTACAGGCCCCGAGCCAATCTTTCCTTTCTTTTTATTTTTTGAGACCGAGTCTCACTACATCACCCTGGGTAGCCGTGGCGTCACAGCTCTTGGCACACTCAAACTCTTGGGCTTAAGAGATTCTCTTGCCTCATCCTCCCGAGTAGCTGGGACTACAGGCCCAGCTGTCACAACGCCCGGGTTTTTTTGTTTTTTTTTTTGAGTTGCAGCTGTCATTGTTTAGCAGGCCCTGGGCTGGGCTGGAACCCACCAGCCTGGGTGTATGTGGCCCTACTCACTGAGCTACAGCCGCCGACCCTACTTCCCTTCCTTGGTAATCATTTAATGATTTTCCACCGCCCTGAGAAGAAAACTACAAAGCTGGAGAAGCAATGGATTCCTTCTCCTTCTCTTCTGCTTCTACTTCCTCATCTTTTCTACATTCCACCCACTCCAACTCTACCCACCTCCCAAACTCTCCTCCCGCCAGACCGGCGGCTTTGACCTTGAACAAACCAACAAACCGAGCTGCTCTCCGGCCTCAGGCTCTTGGCCTGGAAAGCTCTCTCCGAGCTTCTTCGCATCCTTCAGTCTCCACCTTATCCACTTTTCAGAGCCTTTCCAGACCAGACCTCTGGGGTACCCTCTCACCTGACCCCTTTCCTTCCCTTACTGCACATCGTCCCCTGTCTGAAAGGGTCTGTTACCTGTTACTCCCCCTTAGGCTTAAGTCTCGGGAGGGCAGAGGTCGTGCGGGTGAGCTCCGCACACGGCCCGCGATGATTATTAGCAAATTATGAATGACAGAAATGAATGGATGAAGTCCAGACGGCATGCGTTTGGTTAAGCATTTTAAAAGGTTTACTTTATTTTTTTTTTTTTTTTGAGACAGAGCCTCAAGCTGTCCCCCTGGGCAGAGTGCCGTGGCATTACAGCTCACAGCAACCTCCAACTCCTGGGCTCAAGCGAGTCTCCTGCCTCCACCTCCCAAGTAGCTGGGACCACAGGCGCCCGCCACAACGCCCGGCTATTTTTTGGTTGCAGCCGTCATTGTTGTTTGGCGGGTCCGGGCTGGGGATTCGAACCCGCCACCTTAGGTGTACGTGGCTGGCGCCTTAGCCGGTTGAGCTATAGGCGCCGAGCCAAAAGGTTTACTTTAAAAAAAAAAAAAAGCCTGGTTCTGTAAAGGCCATTTTCAGCTCCCGCCCCGGCCGCTCCGGCCCGGCGCTGTCTGGAGCTCGCCCCCACGGCTTCCCGGCTTCAGATCGCGCCCACCCGACCCTCCGGGACTCCGCGCCTCTCGCAAACCTTCCCACAGACACGTGAGGCTGTTCCGGATCCCACCGCCCAAGGGCTACCCATCCGCGTGGAACGCGCGATTCTCACCCGGCACCCGTACCTCTTCCCGGTCTGCAGCCGGACCCGCCAAAATTCCAACTGGACTCCGCCCCCTGAGTCCTACGTCAGACGCAGGCCGTTCTGGAGCCGCACTGATTGGCTACATCATAGCTCTCGGAGTTGGGACAGAGCGAGGCGCTGCCTGGGCGCCGAGCAATTTGATTGGTTTACGACATCGCGCGCCCTCTTTATTGGGGGCAAGGCAATTTCCGGTCGGGGAAACCTTGGTTTTCTTCAGGTAAAATAGGGTGTCTGGCGCCTCCCAGCGCCGGAAAGTTTAAGTCTTCCCGGGCAGTACTTTTCCTCCCAGCGGTCCGAATTTAATTCATGACACTGAGCTGAGCCTCATTTTCTATTTCTGTGAGGTGGAAGGGACCGCGAATGCAGAGAAGCCCGGACACGTATCCGAACCCGTCGTCCCAGTCGCCGCTGCTGCTCTCACACTTCTCTGGCTCTTGTATTCGACAGCGTGGTTTCCAAATATTGACCAAGGTACGTTGAGCAGCACTGTGCTAATTTGTAACACCAACTTCGGGGATGTAACTTCTGGCTTTGCGCTTCACCCTCTGTACACTGTGGGAAAGGCTAGATGACATTCTCTGACACAGTAACCACCGTCTTCAGAGTCATTCGTGCTCCGTAGATTTCGAGAATTGTAACAGAATCAGAGCTGAAAATTACTTCCCAGACCACATCATTCACAGATTTTTTTTTTTTTTTTTTC